GCATTTTGCAGTGGTTTGCCATTAGGGTATTCATTCAGATAATGTTTTCCAACTAGAAATTACAATCTTTAAAACACTTTTTAAAACTTAAAAATATTTAAAACTAATTAAAAGGGTGTGTTAATTTCTACATTTTTCTTACTAATCATTTTGGATATTTTCCTTTGAATTATTGGACAAGGAAGATAGATACCTGAAAGATTATTGCTCTAGTTTGAGTAAAATAAAAGTTTATTAGGAGGGTACAAATACAACTCATTTAAACACATAAATGTTTGAGTTGGATGTATGGTTACTGAGGCATCTTGATTTGTCTTTTTAAATGCTTTATTTTTTAAAAAAAGATGATTTATTTCAGTAAGACTAATGAGACCACCAGTATTTCAGGAGGACCTGGGTAGGGACTGGAAGTACTTGGCAGGATGGCAGCAGTCTTGCTGTGTTTTATATAACATGCACCCTTGTGCAGGTTGCATTTAAATCTTACACTGTGGTGAAGGGTTGAATTTTTTTGTAATGCTGCAGTAGAGTTGGATTAATTTAGCTCTCTTCTTGTCCAATATATAAAATAAATGTTTCATATTATTTCCACAGAGCATAAATAAGGGAGTAATTTTTTTTTTATATTTCTGTGTTTAAAATAACCTTTCCTGTTCAAAAATTGCCCAACTCTGTCTGCTTTCTGCTTGTTATATTTTTTTTCCTTTAATCTTCTTGGGTTAAAAGATAGTCTTTTTCCATTAGCGTCATCACTGCTATCATTTTTTGCATAATTATATAGGCATATTTAATGCTGGGTTTAATTTAATATGTAATACATATGGTTGACAGTAGGGTAATACCCATAACAACTGCAGTTTCTTACGTGGTCTTGAGATTATTTAAGTGATAGATATTATATCAAAAGACATCAGACTTTGGAAGACAAGTTTAGCTTTGGTGTTTGGTCTTCTACTTAGGAAGTACCTACTGCAGTCAGAGTTTATTTTGTATTCATTTTTATATTTTGAAGAGAATGAGGTTTGAAAATTGATGTACATAGAGGGGGACTTGCCTTCTTGATATAGCATAAATTATAAAGTAGATGAGATAGATGTTCACAGTTACCCAATATGCAGTTGTTGGAACTATGAAGGATTCATTGTCTTCCTTTTATATCTTCCTTAAATAATGCAACAATAACCCCTCTGCTTTCTTTATCTCCTATCCCTCCAAGAGTAAAGAAAACGATAAATTTTCTGTCATGCAATTCTTACTTTAAATAAGAATTCAATTCTTACCTTAAATAAGACCAAGTAGAGTATGTAGGCCTTTTTCCTGATAATACTATTTTTCTACTTAACTTATACTTAAAGTGCTAGTGTTTAAAAGCATTTTTAAGGGATGAGGCCTGTACTTTGCTTATGTTGGGAATCAGTGGTAGGAGCAATGAAGTAAATGCTATAGCATTTATTTCTAAAATAGCATATGTAAGTTCAGTTTCCAACCCTTTGCTGTACACAAGCAGACAGAATTCATCCGTTGTATAAATGAGGAAAAAGCTGTATGCTTTCATTCCTTTGAAAACATTCACCATATAAACTTGAAAAGAAAAGATTCTTTAATCATCAATAGTTGACTATTGATAGATCCATATAATTTTCTCTTTTATTCTCTTAATGTGAAAATTATATATTTTAGTTTTAACAAATTGAAATATATTTGTATTCCTCAAATTATACTTGATAATGATCTTAAAAAATTTTTAATGTATTTAGTTTGCTGCTATGTTTCAATAAATGATACTGCTCTCTTCTATAACAAATTTTCATTAACCACATTAGAATGTGTTCATAGTCTAAGGGTGTCCAATCTTTTGCCTTCTCTGATGCTAATTGGAAAAATAGAGTTGCCTTGGGCCATTCATTAAATATGCAAACACTAACAAAAGCTGGACAGCTGATAAGCCAAAAAAGGGTCCATGCATACTTTTCACAATTCTGACACCACAGCTAAGCAAAACAGGTCTCAAATAATCAGCATGTGGCCTGCAGGCTGAAGGCTGGACACCCCTGCATCTTTTCTAGGATTCTATTCTACATTTATATGGCTGTGTAATATATTGGGCACTCTTTTAAGAATTTTGCTTATAACAAATCACTTAATACAAGCAACATGGTATATTTATTCTTTTTTACTAATACACTTATACATAAAATTATATGCAGTTTTAGACTCTCACTTATTAGGCCATATATCTAAGACTGAAAGCAAAGTTATTTGGCTCTAGGCTCTTACCTCTTAAAAATAAGCTAAAGTAGTTTTTTGCTTATTTTTCATTTTTTGAAGGGAATTCAAAAAATTTGACACACTAAATTTCTATTCATAAATGTTTTAAAATTAATTTTTATGTACCACCATATGCATCATGTAATTTTCCAAAAAGAATAAATTGATTTACATATGATGACATGAAAAGACTGGCAATTTACACATTATCTGAATAATGCTAACCACAGATATGGTTGTATAAGATTTTATTTACCATTTACATATGAAAGCTCTAGTTAAGAGCAATGGGGCTCCAAAGACTATTTTATGACCCATAGGTCAGCCACCCCCAACTGTATTTGCACATTACCATCTTGGAGACATAATAAAATACCACCGACTGCAATTTAGTGTGGAAAACTGATACACAGTATTGAGAAAGAAACTTAAGCACTGATATTTTCACAAAACTCTACCTGTTGTTTTCATTATCTATTTATGTTTTAAAATGACTGAGGTTCTAAATTATAGTTCCTGCCTTAGTTCTTTTGACTTTACAGAGCTCCTTCCTGTGGAAAGCTTTCACAAGTTTTACCTTCTTTAGAATCTATAAAAGGCTTTCATTTTCTTCTCTTCTCATTCCTTTGTCCCCATACCTTTGCTGCTGTTGGTATAACTTTGATAAACATCTGTCTGAGGCAAGATCCCATACGTGCAAGGACATACCACTTCTCCCTGCCTTATCTCTCCTGGCTCACTTATCTTCCTTACCCAAGGACCTATACATGAAACTTTAAAATAGCAAAAGTAGATGGGGACGCAAGGATAAACAGTTTCCATTTGCACCAGTCCTTCTTCCTGAGTGGGAAATTTGGGGCATAAATTGTGATGACTTATGTGTAAAATCGCTGTCAGGAATTCTCTATGTCTGCTTCTCCTGGGGGATAACTTTTCCAGCTTCTGTGAAGGATAAATCAAACCTTCCAAGTACATGTATGTATTCCTAAATGCTATGCAGATGCTTGTATATATTGGTTTATATTCTTCCTTTGTGTTGATTTTAGTAGTGGAGAAGCAGAACGAATAGTGTTCCCCTGAGTTCCCTAGAAACTCAGGGATTTTAACTGTTATTTGTCAAGTAGAAGGATATAGAAAGTGGTTCCTCCTTAGAATTTTGTTCATTGAAGTCTTATGGGGCTCTGTGTCATAAATACTCTAAAAGTTTCACCAATCCACTCTTTCAGGGAGACTGTGTAGGTCAAATGGTCACATTTCATTGGCATCAAAGCCAATTTTATCACCCTATGTTGGAATTTTATCTTTCTTTGGATAAGGATGTTCTCTTATCCTGGGAAGTATATTTCTCATATCCTAGAATATGCAGGCAGGATTTTATATCACTTGGAAATAGAATTGTTTGTTCTATTGGGTTTCATATATTTGAATTGGTAAACTAAATAGAACACAAGGAAAATGCCCTTTTATTGTCACACTGGTGCATTCCCCACCTCCTCTCATATTATAAAAGGAGAGAAAACACACAATGGATATGAATGCCACTGAATTTTGGTGCAGGGAAATTCATCTTTTCTCACCTCTACTATTAAAATATTTCAACTAGTACTCATTACTCTTGTTTTTGTAACCATCGTGATCTGAAAAGATAGACTTGGATCCCACTTAGATGCAATTAATTGGAGATTTATTGCACCTGCGCAGGGGACCACTGCCCTGAGAGGCAGCCGCCCTAAAGTAGAGGGCAGTTTGTCTTTTATCCTCTTTTTGTGTAGCTAAGTGAGCAGGCAAGTACAGAAGTGAAACATTGTGGTTAGCTGGGTACAGGGTTACAGTCTGGGTAACAGCGGATACAGGTTGGGTAACACAGCTTAGGTAGGTTTCCCACTATTGTTTGTTCACCAGGGACTAGGGTTTTTTTTGTAATCTTGGGGACTTTCTGTGCTTCCTTATTCTGAAGGTTTTTCTCAGAATCGACCCTGGGGGATGTGGAGGGGAGCTGGGAGACAGAGTGGGAATGGGAGCTTGCCCATTACATTATTTGGAGGTCATATTCTCTACTGGAATGTGTTAATAATCTTTAGGTAATCTAAAGGATAATCTTTTAGGTCTGATATTTTTAGTTCCCAGTTCTAAAATCAAAGTATTTTACAAGATAAGTCCTCATGGATAATTTTTGGGACAGTTAGTCTGCTTTAAAACTCATAACTACCTATTAATTTAACTGTGAGAAAGTCATCATCTGTTTTTTTCCCTGAGAACTATTAATATGGTGTGTTTTATGAGTTCCCTTCTTTTTTTTTTTTATGAGTTCCCTTCTTAACTTTGATCAGCCTTGTAGGATCAGAATAATTCCAACCTGG